AAGTGCATGTGGTGTGTGTGGAAATGCGTGTGATGTGTGCGAAAGTGCATGTGATGTGTGTGTAATTGTTTGTGATGTGTGTGAAAGTGCAAGTGATATGCGAAGTGCTTGTAAATGTGGATACATATTAGAGTGAATGTGCGACCTGCGTAGGTTCAGATGATTAATTTTACGAGTTCATGAACGGTGGACGTGTTTGGTGAGATGAGAAAAAATATAAGAGTTCGAACATTGACTGTTAAACTTTACTTTTATTCTAACATTATTATTTTGTTTGACTCTGCAACTTAGATATTTATAGCATCAAAAATTACTAGTGAAATAAAAAATGACAAAACGCACCGATTACAATTAGGCACCAGATAGCCCTACGTTCAAAAATAACTTGGGATCGGATTTAGCAACAAAAACTGCCATCCACTATTCTGGAAACCTATTCATATATTATATCACATCAACTAAGAAATTACATCAAAAAGATTTTCAGTATCTACATAATTCAGGTTTAAGAGCCAATTAGTTACTATTTTTTTACAATTGTATCTATTTAATGCATATATTTTATTTACTGCGTTGCATTTGTTATATAGGTACGAACCTAGAAAAACAAAAAATCTTTTGGCAAATGATGTTTTAAATATCTTACTTGCACAGACAAGGTCATCTATTCTCTTATTTTGTGAGAAGTTGGGATCATACGTCAAAAGAGAGTGTTTTTTAAGTATACTACTTGCGATGAATAACTGGCGTACTGACAGAACTTTACATTCTTCATAGAGTTTAGACGTTGAGAATAAGTAGGGCCGGAATGTTGAGACCTTTAAAATTGTTCGTTGGGCGACTTCTAGCTTTTTTATAGTTGTTTTAACTTGTACAATACGTTATTCAATAAACGACAATTTTATATTTATATTTACATTTATTTTTTAGTAACAGTAGAATTCCTTGTGAAAGAGTTCGTCCAGGGAAGTACTGCCACCTTTTTCTATTTGTGCCACCAAGCAGTAATGTTAGCATTACTGCGTTCCTGTTTAGAAGGGTGCTGGTGAAATTACAGGCACACGAGACTTGTCAACTTATCTTTCAGGGTGACGGGTGCAGTGGCAATGCCCATAAGATCTTTGCGATTTAAAGCTTTGAGTGGCACTCCAACTGTTATGGATAGGCGTGTCGCTCACCACCAGGCGCACGACTTGTCCGTCCCGTTACTTGGTATTATTTAAAAAAAATGTAATTTTGACTTCAAACGATAAAAACCTTTTAGCTATTGGCCCCAAGCGGATCTCCGACACCAAAAGTGCACTCTGTACTCTATAATACAGTTGGTTTTTACTCGTTTAGGGTGCCTTTTCCACGAATTGATGTTAATATGCAATGATATGTGCTGGACATGATATTGTATTTATATTGCTGGATTTTCTTGTTATTAGATGATTGAAACATTGTCTGTCAGTAGCTTCACTTTAGCATTATTTTACTTGAATTTTAGTGTAAAGTAACATGAATTTTTAATGACAAACTTTGTAAATGGCTAAATAAGTTTGTATTTTTTAAGAATATAAATCAAATTTAAAAAGCTGTTAAGTTTGCAAATGAATAAATATGTCGAATTACGATCTACATATTTTTTAAAAATTAGGGTCGTAATTCGGCATACATATTTATTAGTAATTCAATTACTTGTTAATAAATAAATAACTTAGTAATTATACAATAGTCAACTTAATATAAAGACCACAGATCCTTCTATTAAAAAAGAATTTAGCTACCGTTTTGAAATTTAGATAAATATTATTTAAAAAACATGAAATATAAATTACTTACAATCTAGACGTTTCCGTAACACACACCAGGCCAAAGCTGCATGTTTCATGAAGAGTTATAAATTAAATAACTTGTGATACGATAGTTAGTGTACTTCGAAAATATTTGTTCAAAAATAAGTGCTTAAAAATAGCATAGAAGCAGAAAAGATTGCGTGTGTAAATTTGGGGGTAGCATCTATTGCAACAATTGAAAACAACGTACCAGGAGTAAGATAGTTCGGATCAATGGGTTTTGTAGAATTACTGCATTGTTCCAATTCTTGATAGTTCGTCAAATGCATCCACAACGCTGATTTACCCATCTTATGCTGTAGCCCATGAGACCATAACCTCTCCAGCAAGTCACATAGAGAGGCAATCATAGTACTTTCTTCAACTCCTGTTATTGACACTTCTGTTCCAAAACCTAGATCTGTTTCTTCTGTACCCATTTTCTCAAGTAGCATTCGTTTTGTTTTGGTTTTACATTCCTGGATAATTAATAATAAAAAAAACTAAGCACTTAACGTTAATATATTATGATTTTGTGGTTTTTGTGAACAATAAAATAGGACTACCACTTCTACTATAGTTAAATTATTTTAAAAAAGAGGTTTTTAATTTGTATCCTTACCTATAATGGTTTTATGTACAGAAACACGATATGATTCTTCAACAAAAGGTAAGTATAACCGCCGACCGTCTAACTAAGTCGAGCGTTTAAAATTTACGTCGAGAGTTTTATTGCTCGTAAAAAAGAGCAGTTAGTAGGAGTAGTAGTAGTAGTAGAGCTCCTTGTGATAGAGTTCGTCCAGGGAAGTACTGCCACATTACTTATTTCTGCCGCCAAGCAGTAATGTCAGCATTACTGTGTTCCGATTTTGACGGGTAAGGGTGCTGGTGAAATTCCAAGCATATGGGACTCGTCTACTTATGTCTCAGGGTGACGGGCGCAACGGCAGTGCCTCTCATATCTTTATGGACAGGCGTGTAGCTTACTATCAGGCGTACGACTTGTTCGTCCCGTCACTTGATATTACATAAAAAAAAAGAATATCTGCGTAGCGCGCTTAAAAATTACCTTGAGCAGTTTTTCAACAAAAGTCCTGTTATTTTGAGCAATAGCGGCCGGCGTTACTTCTGTGGACAATCTCCTGGTAATATCACCAAGTAGTAATTCTGGCGGACAATCTTTCACTTGCCATTTCGCGTTCTTTATGCGCTTCAGACTGTTGGTTCTGAAAAGCAAGGTGATTTTTTGCTTTATGCTATTTTGCATTTTACTATTGAAATGTATGTTGATCGAGTTAAATGTCATGTGCTTTAGCTTGTTCTATTAATTATTTATAAACATTATCGTTTATTAACTATTGCTATTATAATGAACGTTTTTAAATGAAACTAATTCTTTTTTTACTTAACTAATCAAGACCGCAAAATAGCTTATGGTAAAATGTAACAGAGTTATGTGAAAGAATATGTTTCTACAATTTGTCTACAGTTGTCAAGTTAACACAGAGTGTTGTTATACATCTAAGCAAATGAATGGTATTTGTAAGACGTTTTTATCGTCAAAAAGTTTTGTGCACCTAGTACTTACACTTCAAGATACAGATACAAACTAAACATTAATTAATATCATGCAACAAAACACAACACAATAAAAAAGCAAGCACACAAAGCCAGAAGCATAGCAACGTATAGGAGACCACAATAGACGTCTGCGTCTAAACTAAGTGCAGAGATTACAGTAGAGGAAAAGGTAATGTCATTTAAAATACACAAAGTTTTAAGTCAACATGTTTATTTTAAAGTTTCAGAAATTATTTACATAAATAAATATTATAAATTATTTGATTACAACGAGATACAATTGCATTAGTTGTTTCAAATAGTCCGCATATAAGAACAACATTAACTGGATTAACTACACTTAGAACTAGAAAATAAAAAATAAATCAAAATAAAAAAGAAACCAACGCGTTTTGCGAAATAATAAAATTTTATTTTTAATTTCACAATTACATGAAACGATCTATCCGTAGTACGAAACTACCTAGTTTATAGTGCATGCATTGACCTATAGGTCAATGACTGCATGCAATAAAGTTAATTAGAATGCGCGCAGTCTCCTAGCGATGTCAATAACACTAGAAAATGTGCATTTCATTTTGTTTCTAATAATCCTATTTAAGCTTTTTTAATTCGGACACAATATCAAGATAATGACGTCAAGAACTTACCTATCTACAGTGAGTAGACCACAGGTTGGGAAGTAAATCGATAACAATATTAATAAATTCGACAAAACTGAGCTAATCATGCATCGCATGCCCAATTATATTTCAATAAAATCTCACGAGTAATATTTTTAATGAAACATCACAATTCAATCATGCACTACAATGTTATTTGTAAATCAAGGAAGACTCGAAATGAATTTTTTGTCGCTAAAATATGATCACTAAATAGGGTTTAAACTAAAATATCAATGATTATTTTAATAAAATTTTAAACTAAAAAACATATGATAAATAGAATTTCTCTAATGCACTACATTTGAGATTCTTATTCATAATATACTAAATAGCTACCAAATCATATTTGGCTCGGAGTTGCAGAAAAAAATATAGAGAAGCAATCACAGTTATTATAAAGACATCTGTATAATTTAAACATACACTACACGGTAGTGCCAATTGGCTAATAAACAATTACTAACCACAAAACTCAGGCGAAATAATCGCATGCTATCACAAAAAGCGGGCTTTGTTCATTTTTAGTTATTTGTTTTATTGCAGTAGATAAAGAACAAACAACTAAAAAGCTCACCGAGTTAACAATCAAAGTCCTATTGGGACTATACAATATTAACTATAAGGAACAAGTATAGTCAAAATTCATTTAATTATAAGAGCATTTACGTTCCTTAAAACCCCGAAGAAGAAGTGGAAAATACAAAATACGCCAATAATATTTAGATCGCATAGAACACGAGGTAAGAATACGAGATCTTTTACTTTGTACCCTTAGGTATCACTTCAAGACTTCGACCAATAAATTGGTGCCACTCTAATGTTGGTATAAATTAATCACGGTGGTTCACTATTGGTCGAGGTCACAAAACAATAAATACAGTAGAAGTGGTTAGTTAGCGTCTGACGCGTGTCAACTATAGGTCTCGAAAGACTTATTTGCGCTAGGTCCGCCACTTTCGCTTTGTATTTGGTATGGTTGTGTCATTCTTTCGTGCAAATTCTCTAAAATCCTGGAAAAATGCCGTATTTTGCTGCTTTGGAGTGCAAAAATGATAGCCGCACCAAAAATATTACCCTTGGTGGTATTTCATATCATCGAAAATCTTTTTTTTTTTTTTTAATTTAAGGAAATAATTATTTTGTTATAAGAAACGTAAGTAAAGCTTATAACCCTGCAATATTATGGTAGCTTCTATTTTGGGGAACTAAATTAATAACTCCATTCGTCGTCGGTCAGCAATTAAACGCTAGACGGCAGCACATTGATTATTGATTCAATATAATATTAAAACATCGCAACTTGCAATATAGGTATGGATAGTATTGACCTTTCAACGATATACCAACAGGGCAGGGTAGTTTGAATTATATGAACAATCCAGAATTTGTTATTTCTTTTTAAATTTGAAACTACGACCAATCAATATCAAGATTTTGTAGCGTTTAATTTGAAATTAAGAATGTGTGAGTTTTGGCGACATCGGTTCTGGTTCTAATGAGGCTTAATGCACTTCCATTGTTTTTTTATCAGTGGTCGAGACCGCTCGAGAGAAACGTTCATGACTGGTCACGTTCGTTCTCCTCGCACACCAAGGTAGACGATAATTGGCCTAAAGCGTTGTCCTACGCTAAAAGACTAAGATTTAGGTAAAATTATGGATCGAGAGTATAAGATAGAGCACTCACACTGCCGTACACTAACTAAAACGCGACTAAGTGACAAATGGTCAAATAACCGTTTTAAATAGCAAAAAATAGAGCACAAAATTCTCTTTTAAAAACAGTTAAAATTAGTTAACGTGTGTGACTTATCGGAACTTACCCTAACGATGCATAGCTGAAATATCAGTAAACAATTTAAAATTGGTCATTAATATTGGTTATTATATGGTTTTTATAATATCTCAAAAAAATATTTTGTCACTTAGCCGCATTTTAGTTAGCTGACGGCAGTACAGTAGTACGTACTGACCTCGTATTCAGAATGATCAAGACAGTTGACTCTATTTAAAATACAAATGCTTGCTGTACAATGTAGAAGTGCAGCAATAGCGGTAAATAATTAGTAATTTTATTGTACTACACTAAACGTATACGCTGCTATAGCTAAAAAGATAATGTTATCTCGGTGCGCGGCGCCCTACGGCGACATGCAAATACGGACATCGACACTATGTGCCGGACGAACCGCGTTCGAGAACTTAGTACGATTCGAACGTTTCAAAACTTCGTTCGAAAACTTTGTGACAATTGAACATTTCAAAATGCTATTAGAAAATAGCTCTGTCTATTTCTTATCAACGAATATCATTTGCTCTTGCGAAACTTAAGGTGTCTACAGATTTGCTCGATTTTTTGACAATCGTCACATGTCGCTCTACAATAATCTCAGCACAGAGCACTAAAAAAAAAACCCGACCTCAAACGTTCGTGGAATTACATCTATTTGCCAAGTTTTATTGACATCGGTTACCGGAAAGTGCGCGAACCCAGATTCATCCCTAGTTTACCTTAGAGGTAGAATTTTTTCTTCAAATTTAAATGGGACCACTACTGAAGTACCCTGTTTCCAACAAAGGAAAGAATCATCAAAATCCGGTTACAAATGCCGGAGTTATCGCGAAACATACATACAAAAGAAAAAACAGTCGAATTGAGAACATTCATCTTCCTTTTTTGAAGTCGGTTAAAAAATACGATATCGATCGTGAAAAAATTGAGCCAATCTGTAGGCACCTATAGAGGCACTGGATGAGATATGCCGTATTCTCTCCCGCGGCTGCCGCAGCGTCCGTGCCTAGCGGAGTGTCGTGTCGCACCTGCGGTCGTTGGCGGGTGGGGGAGCCAGCGCGTTGGCGTCGAGGCGCGCGGGGAAGGCGCGGTAGTACGCGGCGCGGTGCGGCAGACGCTCGCCGGGCGCGCCCACCTCCAGCTCCGCGCCCGCAGAGCCCCCGCCCCCCGCCAGCCCCGCCCACACGCTGTACCCGCGCGTGGCTAGCCCTCCCTCGCCCAACCGCCGCCTGCAACCACACCATAAGACTAAATAATCCACCTCATAGACTCGACCTCTATTTTACACAAAACCTTCTCTCAAAGTCACACGCCGGCAGTTTGTTAACGCATTTCCAAATCTATGTACAGCATTATTTAGTCTTATGATCTATCCCGGGAATCCCATTGCAGTTCGTGCAAGATTAGGCTGTTATCCGTGTTAAATGGTATCGCTTTGCTTGCTTGGGCGATTATTGATCGTTAGATTGAACACCGTGCGGATTAATCAGTCTTCTAAATTAAATGAATGACACGCGTACGATTAAGGCGATGTGGATATTACATACCTGACAGATTTTATTCGATGCTCGAATACTTGCAGGTTCGCGTCGTATTCACCCCAGTTGGTCATAATTTTGTTATCAATGAGAGTGGCGAACATCTGCGTCTCTAGGAAGCGAGACAGAAATGGTCGGTGGCGCTGCGGCTGGTCCGAGAGGAAAGACGCCTTATCGAAGTTCACCATTGATTCACGAGCAGTTAGCCAGGAATCGCGACCCTAAAAAGGGACAAGGATATTAATTTTTGTCATGTTATTTAAAGGACACGCATTGTCGGTACAAGAGCAGGGCTTTTAAATGAGAAGGAGACATATGTTAAGTGCACGACATTTTGTTCAGAGACGCTTTTCATGTACTTATATTGTACATGTTCTTTTCAAAATAACAGTTCTGCATCATCAAAATTAAAAATCTATCACGAAACCTAATACTTTTTGTCACATTGTACCAGTAACCCTGCAAGCCTCTACAATTACTAAGCGGAAAACACGGAACTGGCGAAATCTAAAACAGGCAGAGCCAATAAGTAATAAGAAAATTCGGTATCAAAACAAATTATCACGAAGGTTTTGTACACAAATGACACACGCTCTAATAATTACCTGGTCAGGCATGATGACAAAATTCTCATACATAAGAAAAATATGAACGAAGCGGTTGAGAAACGTTTCGCGGATGGCAACGTTGAAGCGAATATCTTCAGCGTACTGTTCCTCGTCGTTTAGAATTTTCTTTTTAGTAGTCGGCATTACTGTTTCTGCATCTACATCGTCTATGTTTACTCCTGCAAAAATAGTTATTACCTATGAAAAATATTAAAATTGTTAGTTAATTTGAGTATCCTGTACCAAACAAAAATATAGATATTTAATGTATGCCTGGGTGCATAAAAGATTTACTGACCGTTTTAGATCTCTTTACGCCATCACTAGACGTTGACAAGTAGTAGATAATGGGCCAATACGATGTCCCACATGGTGGCCATGCGATTATTCCGTAGATATAAGAGATATTAAGGTGTTTACCTTTAAACTAATATCAAAAGTACGTTACCTAATGAGTAAAACGACGTCAATAACTTTTTTAAATAAAATTAGAAATATCCAAAACTTTAACTTTAAACACTCCCATACATTTAATATGACATTCGTAGAGAGGCTTCAGTTTCGAATAACTGATTTGAATACAAAATTTCGTACTTCCTGAAAAATAAACATCACTTTGTTTTCATTCAATTAAAAGTTTTATTACGTTATTTATAGCACTTTCGTTATTTGTAAACTTATTGTTACCTCTTAAAGTAGGTCAACTAAGGCCTCTCGACGAATGTCATATTGAATGTAAGGGAGCGTTTAAGTTTCTAGTATTATAATTTCAAAACTTTATTGATGTCGTTTTACTCATTAATGTAATTTCGAAAACAGTTTAAAGGTTTTTGATATCTTTTATATTTACAGAATAATCGCCTGGACACACTTAAAGGTTACACTCTGTATTGTTTACTCTCTTACGGCGTTGTACAGACATTTGGAAAACTTGTAACAAACTATATTAAAGTACCTGTGTTGTGACACGTTTACCTGTTCGTTTGACAATATCAACGATTCTCTGCAAAGCGTCGAGGCGACGCGGCGCTGCTCGTCGTGTAGGTGAGCCCGGTGGTGATGCGTTCAGTGGCCTGCTCTCGTCCCAATCGAGTACGTCGTGGAAAGAATGTTTTCTTCGTAGACCCCCTAAAATTCAAATAAAATCTGTATCAACCACGGAAAAAAAAAATGTTGAAGTGCCATAAGCCTCGATTACTATCGGAACCGATGCCGTCAAAACGCACACAAACAAAATAATAAACACTATGAAATCTTGATAATGATTGGTCATACTTTCTAATTTAAAAAGATGTAACATATTCTGGATTGTTAATGTAAATTAAGCTTTACCCAGTCAGTATATCGTTGAAAGTCCAATACCTTTATTGCAAGTCACGTTTTGACTTTGTATTGAAATTTTATTCAACATGCTGCCATGTTGCGGCCAGTAGCTGGACTCCAACGAACGATTAACATTAAATCGAATAGATAATCAGAACATTTAAAATTTATTAAGACTCCGATTATTTGAAATACTATTACGTAATATTTTCGGTGCAGCTATAATTTTTGCACTCCAAAACAGCACAATTAGGCATTTTTCTACGACGTTAGAGAATTTGCGCGAAGGAATGACACAACCTTCTCTCTTCTTCATTTTCTACAAATTACGGAATGAAATTTGTATGGTATCAAAACGAAAATATCGGACTGAGCTCAAGTGGGTCATTCGAGGACTATAGTTGGCACGCGTCTGACTCTAATTAACCACTTCTACTGTATTTATTGTTCTGTGGTATCAACCCTTAAAAGCCCCACACGTACACGACGATTTGTCATCATGATCCATCCTTCCAAACTGATCGAAACGATGTATCGATAGTGTATGGTCATGTCGCCAATGATTAACTTAGACGGCAGGGGAGTAGCGACGGATTGATACAGTTGTCGTGTTCGATAGCTCAGCAACTGGACCCGTACCTCAGTTGGTAAGAGCAATGCTACGATGCAGCGTGAACCTGGGTTCCGGTCCTATCGAGTCGACGAAATTTTTCAGTGTGTTCGATCTTTGTATTCATAATCAAGTACTATAGTGTTTATTTATTTGTTATTAAGTATGAAATATTTATCGATATAATGTGTGATTAATTTGTACATAGTTTATTATTAGATTTATTATATAATAGATTATGTTTTTATATAATATGATGTACTACGTTGGAATAGCTCAAACCTCGTACATCCAAATCCATTGAATTATTTGACCACAGAAACAGCCAAAGAAATATACAATACTTACATAAATATATTATATACTCCCCGAAAGCTTAACTTATCCTCTTTGTAAAATAGTTGGGTTAAAATATGTGCATACCTGATGGCAAGGTACAGCTACTGCTCATGCTGTCATTCATGGGTTTGTAGGAGCTGCCGTTTATTGGTACACCCAGTTTAGTTGGTTCTGTTTCAGGTCTTTGAATCTATAAGTTTAAAGAAATATAATATATAAATCTACATTGCATTTTGCTTCGTTAAAATGGTGACTTGGCGTTTTTCATTTAGAACACTCTGGGAAATATGGCGAAACTATAAATGCAAGAAAGATAGGAAAGTGTGTTAATCGTGCTTACTATGCCGCATTTTCATTCAATTTCAGTATTTTGATGATACACAGAATTTTGATGATCTCTGACATCATCAACATTACCCGATTGTTATAGAGTTCACATTTTTAATAATATCAAGTAATGGTACGAACAAGTCGTGCGCCTGATGATAAGCGACACGCGTGTCCATAGCAGTTCCAGTGCCACTCACGAACTTTAAATCGCAAAGATCTGAGAGAGACTGTTCCTGCGCCCGTCACCCTGACACATAAGTTGACAAGTCCCTTGTGCCTGTAATTTAACCAGCACCCTTATCCTTCAAAACGGGAACGCCATAAAGCTTATTTTACTGCTTGGCATAACTTAGTTATACATATAATTTTATAAAGATTATGTTTCATATTAGATTACCTGATGTTTATCCAAAATGTGATTAAGTTCTTCAATCAAAGGGGTTCGATGAGGGAATATAGGTAATTCTTCTGGCAGTTGAATATCCGGCTTGTCGATATCAACCAAGCACAATGCTGCTTCTGAGCCGAGGACGACGCTTCGAGGGCCGTTAGGGGTTAAACTGAGAGCTGCACTGTCGCTGTGGAGACCTGAATATCGATAAATGTAGCTATGATTAGTGGTTAATCGTGATATTGCAAAATAAAAACTTCCAACATAAATATTCATGATAATTAGAGTTAACATTTTACTTTGAGGTACAAACTCCACTGCAATCAAGTTAAGATATTTCAAATGAAACCGTATTCGGTAAAACAGGCCAAGTAGGTCCAATATCTTCCATGTTCACGTAAATTGCTACATTTGTAACAGTACCGCTGGTTAAAACATCCAAGGAAGCAGAAGAATTTATGACTGAATGAAATCCTGAAATGGTGACAAGTTGCTAAAAAATTTTGTCTATTTGAGGCTCAGAGTACGAGAGAATGTAGCCTCAACACTGAACTTGTTACCTTCTTAAACTTTTAAGATCTTTGAAATCTTCATCAAGTCTATTGCACAAAGTTTATTGCAATAAAGATAAAGATAAACAAGATAATGTATTACTATTTATAGCAAAAAATAGACATATTGTATTATTATTGCAATAATAATACATATTACGTTATATTATTATCGGAATATAGGTGTATTTTTGTAATTTTATAACCATGCAAATTGTATTTCCGATCGTAAAGAAACATAACGAAAACAGAAAACAAGTAAATATATCCGAGTAAAAGTTCGTCACTGCGCTTAAAATGAGTTCAGGCATAAAATTACGGTCACAATTAAGAATAGTCTTTCTCATTTCGCCCTATTGTTTCTTACCCATGACGAAAGGTACCGGCGCGTCGAGAAAATGGTACAATGGCGCCGGTAGAATAGGTACATAGACATGAGCCCATGTGAAAGGTAGTAAAAGAGAGATAATGCATTCCGCTACTAACATCAATTTGTTATAATCTGTAACAATGGAATGGAAACTTTACACTCATATACTTATGTTACAAAATCAGCGTTTGGCTAGATTCGTATTATAATATTATTAGTTGCACTCTAATTTTCTACAAATTACGGAATAGGCGTAGGTAGTTCATATCAAGATTAAAATGCACTAGTTGCGAATATTCTGTGTAAAGTATAATAACAATAACATTAAATAAAGTTAGTTATATGATTACATGTATTGTGCTAGTAGTTTCAAAAATGAAGATAATTAATCACACTGCGGAAATTTTTACATTTTGTAAAATCTAAAAAATAAAGTATTTTTATACATTATGAGGTAGCTTATTAAATTATAGATGGAAATGTTTTAGAGAGAGAATATTGCTTACCACTAGACCGAAGTAAAACTTGGTGCTCTAAAAGAACGCAAGTAAATAACTGAACAACGCACTCAACACCCAAAGTGCTAAACATTACGCGCAACGGATAATCGAGCAGAGGTAACTCTTCCGGTGGATTTGGCATTCTTATCACCTGTAGAAAACAATATTATGTATATTTTTTAAGCATGTTGCTATTTTATGAGTATTTCAAGTACTTGTATAAAAGGAAACTTATAAAATATATCGAATGCCAAATATTATATACCAATTTTGCTTGTTTTGAATACTTCAATTTGAAAGTTAGATATGACTTACTACTGGTATAGGATCAAGATGAGGCTCTGCTGGTGGTACATAGAGTCGTAACGCCTGTCCAAGTAGGGGCACTGGAACTTCATATAGCAAGTTGTAGACATAGGATTCTGGGCTTAGCCCGGGACCTGGCTGTCTTGGCAATGACCTACAAAATAAAGACGACGCATTAAATCATCATCACCTACCCATACAAATCCTACTGATCCATGTGTCTCTTTGAAGGAGTGGAGTCTCACAATGGCCTATTCAATGTATTCAGATCAGTTCATGTGTTAATGAGGTCACGACTTGATATGGCACATACATGCTTATTTTCTTTTCTACTATAACTGAATCACATAACAAATATGGGTCCAACAAAAATTCTTCAAATTTAATTGAACTTTTAGAGCACCATTGCATAATAATACTGGTACATTTTGCTACCTGCCTACCTCTGTGACCGAACGGTTACCATGCTGAACTGTCATGCATACGTCCCGGGTCAGGAGAAATATTTGTATGGCCTACATTTATTTCTCTCGTGAGGTTGCTGTACATTGTGGTGGTCTACATATGTCCATGGCACCCGCGATACAGGGTTTCCCTAGTGCAGGGCTATGAGTGTGTGCGTTATTATTATTATTCTGTAAATTCGTTGACCCACCCCAGTTCCAGTGTACACTTACCTAAATAAATTCTCTAAAAACATCTGTGATACTCTAACATAAGGGTATTGACATATGAGAGCAATACTTTTGGCTACATAGAGTTTATCTTTGGCTATTTCATAGTAATTCGATGCGGCGCCAGTGTGTGGCGCCAATTTGAAAGACCGAGGGAGAGACCGGGAACTCTCTTTGCCTGTAGTTTTTCTATGGCCAGGTGGTGTCTGTCCACTTGATAATTCTGTGATATACATTGTCTGAAAGAACGAATATTTTTATTAACTTTACTGCTTCTCAAACACATGTTTACTATTTAGATGAAGACACACTGGGGAATTTTCGATTTATCATAGATTTCCTTCACATATATATTTGAAATATACAGTCACAATTTTCTCCAGCATAAAAAGTAACTTGTAACATGTTGCTCGTAACATAACAAACAAGATATACTAATGTTGTCACCTGCTGCGTGAAATTTGGAATTATTGAAATGGCAATGTTTTAAAATATTATGAAATCAATGCTACAATTATTTACTCCTTAACAACTTAGATAATCACTATTTACAGGATTTTTAGCAGCATGACATTTTATTCTGCTCCAAATATTTCAGATCTGGCGAGAGGGACACTATTGTAATGGGTTGACTTATTGTTCAATTATCATATTGTAAATGAATAACCATGTAAGTCTTAAATTTAAGAATCTTGAGAAAAAGATTTTTAATTTTTGGAGTTGTGCTAAGTTGAGTATCTGCACAAGCACTTCTTGAACAGTTACAACATTTTAATTTGTTTAAAAAAGTTCTATTCTATTAGCTGAATTAATAATTTTATAGAGCTTATTATAATATTATAAATTGTCCTAAGATATCTTTGGGATTTCTTCCGAGTATTTATTTTTACCTACCAACCTATATATATAACCTACCAAATTCATAAAAATAAATTTTAATTAGTAGTTAGCCTATATGTGTGTAGTGCCGCTATAGACCTCTTCTCATAATGCGATGACTTGGTTAGTACCCACGTGGGGCCAACGCGAATTGGAAACTTTACAAAGATGTGTGCATGTTTCTCACGATGTCTTCCTTCCATGAAAAGCTCATGGTAAATTTCAAATAAAATTGCGCACATAAATTCCGAAAAACTCAAAGGTGCAAGCCCGGGACTCAAACTCATGACTCTCTGCTGCAATAGGTCAAACCATTAGGTACAATGGTTATATTTACTAAATTTCTGTTCAAAATTACCTTGACTACAGGTGAAATTGAAAAACACACATACAAAATAATCGTGATGAGGTCAATAACAAGTTCAGATAATTAGAATGGATTCTGGCCAGAAAATTCCCTTGAGAACAAGTTAACCATCTGCCCAACAGTCCTCAAACTGGTATGGAGTTATGGGTTTCAAATCTCTGATAATATAATCATGAATATCATATATTGTTAAAAAAATGTATGAAATTCATCATTATCTGAAAATCCTTACTGTCAAATAGGAGACAAATAGCGTTACTAAAACCTATAAGGGCAGAATCTCACAACATGAAAACAGACTTGCACAAGCTATGAACGAACCTCTAAGTAACACAATTGAGAAGGTGCTATATGCGGGACTAAAGGAAAGAGAAATTGTAAAGATGAAGGCAGCTTAACGCAGGGACCAACTTAACATGCCAAATAGACCACAAAAACACAACTGCTCATGATCTATGGAACAATCGCATGTTGCAAAAGGCATTATAAAAAAATTTAAAAAAGCTTTAAATGTAATGTTTTGTTGGTCACAAAGACCATTGCTGATTGGACACACTTCAGTCAACATAATGGTGAGGTAGAAGTGTTTTGTTATAAGTGGTGGACATAGAGTATATAACCAGAAATAGAGACGAAATGTCATTTAATTTGTTTGAAAACTATTCTGCCAAATCATTACTGTGCCAACTGCGTTCCGATTGGCCAGCCCAAATTCGAAACACTTCTTTCACTTCAAAACGACCAGTTTAACTTGAGCTTTGCTATAATGGAATAAAATTGCAAAATTACATATTTAATTACCGATGAAATGTGATTCCGTTTGTTTTGTAATTAGATGTTTTGCTGTTTTTCCCACACCACCTAATAGAACAGCCCTCATTATTAGAGATATACAATAAACAAGGATATATGGAGATATACACACAAGTCAGTTGTTGGCGCTGTACTATTTCAGTTTTCTAATTTGTAATTTCAGCACAAACAAGTGTTGATATTTAAAAGTGATATAATTTTCCATTTGTCTGATGAGTTGCCAGGGATGGCTGGCCCTTATTTTGCCTCTATTTCTGGTTAGATACTCAATGGTAATGGACAATACCTTGAATTTACTTACAGGATACCTTGCATAAAAAAAACCAAGCCCAATATTTGAATATTAACGACTAATGTAATGTAAAACACTTGAGCAAAAGTTTGTATTTGTTTTAGAATTTTGTATATTGGTGGCCTTAATATATTGTCTGCTTAAAGGTAAAACCACATAAGTGATATTCCACAAATCTACAAAAAATCTCCAAATTATGTAGGTACCTGTTGTAAGAAAATCACCATTCTGCAGATAAAACCACTTATTGAGGTTATAGCTTTTTTGTTATTGAGTTTCACCTGCAGAAAGATAGTGATTTTCTTGCCACAGCTATATGAAGACTTTGTAGAATTGTCACTTATGTGGTTTTACCTTTAAACAGATGATATGATCAATATAAATAAATTCATCAGAGTATATTATAATACTTAAAAGTTCTTAAAATAACTGAAGTCCCTATTTACATAAAAAACAAATTTGATTATAAATGGTATAATACCTGCAATGTGTGCATCGCACTACAGATGTTTCTGTTCCTAACTTCTTCGTAAAAGATAAGACTGAAGCCATAGTATCTTGATGCATTCTCTCTGGTCACTACAAAGCTGTGGAATCTTGGTTCTAAGCAGTGTTTTTGAGTTTTAAACTGTAAGCCAGCTGGGAAACAGAGCTGAAAGAATAGTAGAGTAATTATCTGTAATTAATAAAACTTGAAAATTACATACAATCATTTTAATTATAATTAAATTCAGTTTCCATAGAAAATTTTGCTAAATTACAATCATTGTATGTATTCATTCATTCTTGTTTAGTCAATTACTCAAATCTTGAAATATAAATAAATCTTGGTATATAATAACACCCAATTAATTCAACTATTCCCAAGAGGGCAGGTAAAAAGATTCACAAAATTACATATGTATATGATTAACTCCCAAATCAATCAATATATTATTATATAATTAGTTCATTTTTTAATTATTGCACACATTATGCATTTACACTTCCAAATCCTACTTATTATTCTAGAAGTTTATGGACAAGTATACTGAATGAATTGTTACAAAAATCTACTTACCATGCACACTGCATGCTCATCAAAAGGATTACTTGATACATTATCAGGATAATGAGCCAAAATCTTGCCTTTATATGCTCGATCGAGGGGAGAGACGTGTAAGTTATCGCCTGCAATAAAAATGAATAGTTGGTGTGATAAAACAATATGAAAACAATGGGGCAAAGGTAGAAAACGAAATTTTGTCAATACGTACCACAAAGTCTATCTGGTTCTAACCCGGAATCGATATCAAGACCGCAAATCACAAAATAATCAGCAAAACGGCATCCCACCGATAAATCAGGGACAGACATATTCATATCGACCCGTTATTTACTACGTGAGACACTTTCTCTTCCACTCACTGTTTTGAAGGTTTTGACTCAACATCGTAAGTTAGCTGGAGTGAAATCATTGCAAACCTAGTTTCATTATGGTCTGACATTATTTTTACATTAAGTTTATGTAAGTAATGAAAAACCAAATTTATAAATCTGGGTAAACAAAGTTAACTCGCAGTATTCCATTTGCAACACACCACCAGCTGCTTTTTTTTTTTTTTTTATTAATTTATTGCTGGCCATGGAAACAAAGGCTTCAGCCGAAAACATAAAAATAATTATCAATTTCTGTAAGTATGGCCGTCACAAAGAGGATAGGCAATTTGAGACGGCGTGCTTGGATTGACTCAGGATTCCTTAAAACGGGCCGATGCGGATATTTTAGTTCGAGATTCGTATAATTTCGCACTTTACTCTTCGATTAAGGCACAATAGCACTATCCTATTCCACTTTAAACTAGAATTCACAAAATAATTGAAAGTCAAAATAAAAACGCCGCTTTTCCCTCCAAAAGGTCCAGAGCGAATCACCACCAGGTGCTGCCAGACAGCGTTGCCAATGCCAATTGTTATAAATCCCCAAATTTGGGAAGAACAAAGTTCATATTCCCTACAAATTCCCCACATCTCGAGTTTTCATTATTTAGTACAAATACATCGCTTAAAAATAATAATAATAAAGAATTAAGAAACTCAAAATGTAACCATCCATTATGTTTGCTGTGAATGTAAACAGAATGTAAAATGTGAAGCAAAGTATAAAATTAGATGACCTTAAATCGTTTATTTATTTTAATAAGATGCAACATTAATCAAAGTTTCAAAAAAAAAAACAATTTTTCTTCGCCATACTAAATTAAGTAACTTAATTATTTTGTTGCGCATTTGGTGACACTATGGTTAATGTTAGAAAAAATCTAAGTAAATTAAGTTTCGTCCTATATTTAATATTTAAAGTTGACGAGTGCCTAGTGGTAAGTTGTGGTGTGGAAGTACCAACTGCTCGGCTTTGTTTATCAATACCTGTTTTCGTTTTTCTTCATACCGAGAACGGGTCTAAGTGGGAGAAAGGATCGTGAACTCAACACGCACCGACTGGTAATTTTACAAGGTTAGAATTTAACCGCTTACCAAAAAAGCAAGTTTTTTCATAACCAAATATGTCACTTCCCTAACAAAAGTACCGATAACACATCAAAATATGTACATCAAAAGAAAATTAATTTAGCATTATGTACTATGTAAATTAAAGCATAACATTTTATCTAATAGGTGTCTAATATTTCTGGCATACAACAAACGTATGACCACAAATTTGTGAGAAAACATACCTATTTCACTGAAAGGTACATCAGTCTATCGGAATGAAACACCATTTTATATGACATAATGATCTAATTGCACAATTTGTCCAAAACAATAAAATCAACAAAAAAAATTAAAACTTCACACAAACATTGCATCAAAGTCTAATGCTTGAAAATCATAGTATATTTTTTTGGATTTGCAAGTAAAGGTACAATTTAGTTCCAATACTATGATTAATCAGCTCCAAATATAATATTTGTTGTTCGTGATTCATTGTATAAACGAAGATAATTTGTAGAAGAACTTTTGAGAAAAAATACGGTAATTTTGTTAAAAGGATTGTTATTTCGTTTACAGTTAATTTAAATTGATGTGCAATCAGTATTTTTGTAAATAAATGAGCACTTTCGTTGTACACTGAAAAATTAGCATTTTATTATTATTTAGCATATCTAGATTTGAAACATGTTTCTAAATTATTTTTGATACTAGTTTTCTTAGACAGATATTCTATTTGTAGTGAAATATTTTTTAGATGTGCAAGTTATTTGAATAATGAACATAATTTTATATGTATTGAGTTTTCTGATATGCACTTAAATATTTTTCATTTTACAATTCAGAACCTAAACGACCTGATAATAATTCTATTTAAGCTGCTTGTTAATAATGCGAGTGATGAATGATCTTGAAAAATACATCGATATAGTTTATCATCGTGTTTCACACAGTAACAATAACGATCAAACTAGCGATGCATCGATAGATGCAAGTAATCGATACATTCAACAAAATCATAAAATGTGAGAATCCCCACATTTTCCCCACATAGCGCTAATCTCCACAAAATCCCCAATCTAGTTGAAATTCCCCGTAATTTGGGGAATTCCCCACAAATTGGCAACCCTGCTGCCAGAACCTATTATAGTGATGTACCGATCGGTGCTGATAGGATTTTAACACTTGATTTAATTTAATTTCTTCGAATCAAATAGTCGATTCTTTCAGCAGTTTACGTAATCATTATTCAATTGAGTGTTTTTGATTTTTTTGCTGTCACATATAATCATTGGTCGTCAGTTGTCACCATAAATAATAAAGTTAAAAGGTCATAAATGTTGGCCATGCTAACCAGCGTCGCCCGACATTTTTGACGTAAATTGTCAGTAATCCGTATGTCGATTGATATATACATATTCAAATTTAGGTATTAATTGCGGATCTGTGGACAAAACGGACAACACGTTCGCTAATTAATGCGACAATGTAACAAAATATATAACGTTTCAAACACTGAACTCTATCTGTAATTTGTTTTGGGAACGCTAAACTAAATTATGGTTCCCTTTCCCTCCAAAATTCCTATATAATAATTTTTTTGGAGATTTTATTTTGGAGAATTTACTTTAAATAATCACCTAACACATTAAGCGTCTTGTTAACTGTGGTATTATAGCTAATATATGCAATGAATGCATATGGTGGCCGATATTTTTATTTTACGCAATACACACAATATTTATTCATTCTCAGTATATATTATATTATTATTGTTAAGCTTAAAAATACATCAAATAATTAAGAAAGTCAAAATGTGCCCATACATATACGTTATGCTATAATTAGAAATAAACTCAACAAGCTTGACCTGTGGCAAATTGTGGTATTAACAATGATATTATACTTGTAAGGTATTAAGGTCTATCCACACATACCCAGGACGTGAACGGGGCGTGGTCCGTCAGGGGCTCAAAAATATATAGTTGCGTATATTTTGTATGAACTCGTCTACACATGTCCGTGTCCGGGCCGGCGCGGCGCCGGGACGGGCCCGCAGTTCCTACAAACTAGCACGCCCCGTTCACGTCTCGAACACGGCCCTGTTATTTGGCTTGCTGTTATACGGCTTATTTGGCAGTAATTGTTTCGGACGGATGTCGGACGGAGATTGAGAGTAGACCCCCTGACTACACACTTTTGTTCGAAAATCGCCCCCAGTGCAATCGAACAAGATACGTCAATGTGTAGCTTGATGTGCTAGTACATACTTTTATTTTTGAGTTTTTGTTTTAACATTTGTGATGTCGAACGAAAAGAATTCGTTAGCGTCTTCAAATGTCTTAATTATAAGTTTCAATAAAATAAATTAATTAGGTTTTTCAAATTATAATAGCGGCCTATCTAAGTGTGGAAATAAAATCATATTTAAAAGAAACTCTAATGACTAATTAGTACGCATTGAGTATATAAACGTAACCGGACTGATATCTGTAACTGTCTGTAACTATCAGTTTCTTAACGTTGACCGACATCTAGCTGGCCAATGAAGGAATTTCAGTACCTACGTATGGATATAGCCACATTTGGTTCTCTTAATATCAAATGTACCGATTCGACCGATTTGTAATAAGATAATAAAAGATTAATTACTTCATTACAAAAAATAAAGTCGATAATTTCTTCTCCAAAATGCCACGCGAGAAAATGGTAATACTGACAAAAAAGTTCCCAAAATCAGGGATAGATGGCACGTTTCATAAAAATATATGTATTAGTTAACTCAGTTTTTTTGTTACAGCTTAACTTCATGCCTTTTGACCATACCAGTATACAAAAGAATTTCCTCTGAACTTTCGTTACGTCACAAACCCACGGCACCATACAGTTTCTATTAACTCTGTTTAACGCTTCTGTAGTTTATTTTGATATTATATCAATGCATTGAATATATTTTATTAACCTCCAAAACTTCAAACTGGAATATCTTTAATTCCCGACTTCTCAGAATAGTAGTAAACCCAAAACAAAATTTGTTCAGGAATTTCAACTCTATATTTTCACATATTTTTCATAAGCAAACGCATACATATTATGTCAACAAAAATTTGGGAGTTTGCCATTGTGCTTTATTTTTAATTTTTTTCCCTGAAAACCCCCCAAGGAATTAATCCCCTCAAAATTCCCGCCGGGAGTCAAAGCAATGCCCCCGAGTTTGCAGGGAACCTTCCCTATGGCAGAACTACTGAGTAGTTGTTTTAAGAACAAGATAGTTCTAGAATTTCTGGAAATACGACTCTAATGGGAGGGACTTCAGAATGATTTCGCATGCTTTAAACCATACTCAAATCCTGACTTGAGCATTGAGTAGAGTTCTAGAATACGACCCTTATTAGGGACGTATTCCAGAACTGTAGTCAATGCTCAAGTCAGGATCTGAGTATGATTTGAAGCATTGGAAATACGACCCTAATGGCAGGGACTTGACTATGATTTCGACTCTCTCCCCCCTCTTACTAGAATAATGGATGTGGTGTGTGATTTGATTAGGTCACTCATTCACTGCACATGCACCGATCTTAATAATAAAATAATTCTTTACTTAAAAACGGTGAGGTAACAGCGTGCGTGCATGAAGTGCGGGGAATCCCTTCTACTTTCATTCCCAATTAATAAATGAAAAAGGTGTTCACCGCGCAAATGACTAAATTAACTGTTACGCTTAGATTTTTGCATTAGAATTATCCGGATACGCAAAGATGTTGTTTCCGGGTAACATATTTGCCGGATATCCATATATTTCGGACATCTGGGTATCCGGATTGCAAACCCTAGATGGAGCCATTATGAAGGTTTTATTTGTTCTCCTTTTTCTCCTAGTGGCTTTTTACAAGTTTGTTTTATAATTCACGCTAAATAAAATTAATAAACGTAAAACTCGCCTAGAACATATCATGGGCGGGTTGACCCCCGCCGCTGAATTAAAAGACTACTTAACAAACCCAAATAAGTGAACTAAATTATTTAAGAGAAAGTGAAAACACAATGTATTTATTTTATTTTATTTTATTTTATTTGGTACAACAACAGACATTAGATCACAAACAATACTTATTAACAAGAAAAAACACATAACACTTTAAATCTAATATCCAATAATAGTTATACACAACTTTCCTAAATATTTATATTTTTAACAAACAGGTATAATATTCATAGGTATAATATACATACAATATATATTTATTTATATAGTTATATTTATGTATTTATATTTATATTTCAAACAAATACTATTTCAACAAATATTAAAAGCAGTGTATCACAATTTAGAACTACAATGGCAAATATTACTGAGGATCCCGATAATTAAAACGAAGTCATGGCTCAAAGGACTTATATCCAGGTCAAAACTATTCATAATAGTAAAAAAGAACATCTCTCTCGTATTCTAGAACTGTACTCAATGCTCAAGTCAGGATCTATCAAGCACTGGAAATACGACCCTAATGGCAGGGACTTGAGTATTTCCAGTGCTTGAAATCATACTCAAGTCTGCTCAAATTCTGACTTGAGCATTGAGTAGAGTTCTAGAATACGACCCTTAGGAGCCTCCGAAATTATATTTTTCAATTTTTTTCAACTTGAAAATTTTCGGAAAATTACCCAATAGTAAACCTGTTAAAAGTTACTGAACGAAAATGATAAAGGTTTATTATTCGCTGTTGTGAAATAATTTTAGATTTTAGATCTCATTTACGTAGCTTTTAATTAGACGAGTTTATTTTATAATTCAAGCCAACTAAAACTCCAAAAGATAATAAATATCTCAGAATATGTATAAAAAGGCTCATATTGAATTTTACGTGTAGATAATACGTAGAACATAATATGAGCCTTCGAAATTCTAATGAATGTATTATTATTTTAATTTCTTATTACAGGCACGTACTTAAAAGTCTTCGAAATTTTTCCAATTTTTCGGGATTTTTTCAGAAAATTACCCTACTGTGCCCAGAAACAAAATGCCATTTTTTAAAATGAGACCTAGGATGCTCAAGTCAGGACTTGAGTATGATTTAAAGCACTAGAAATCATACTCGAGTCCTGCCAGTAGGGTCGTATTTCCAGTGCTTGAAATCATACTCAAGCCTTGACTTGAGTATTGAGTAGAGAGTAGAGTTCTAGAATACGACCCCTAAAGGCTAAACTGTGGCTAAAAATATTAGAGGACGGAAACAAAATCCTATCGATGCATAAACAGAAATTGAGAAACAGAAAGTGACAGCAGGATGGCTATATTCATAGAGGGCTTGCACAAGGGAGATAGGTGTAGTATTTGTTTTTTTTTCTATCTTGATTACTTCTTTCAGGTTGATTTTGAGTTCAGAGTTATGAAAGAGTGAATTCGATGCTTAAAAATATTCTTTGTCTAAACAACAACGGTTGCGATATTTTGCAAAAGAAATTAACATCACATTACAGTTTTTTGGAGAAGATACATTTTTTACACGAATTAATTTTACTTTACATAAAGTATGTTTACTTTACGTTGTGTGTTTCTAGATTATTTGCTACCATTAAGCTGATGCCTCTGAAGCCAATGCTTTATAAATAAATAAATAAAATATTTGTTTTGTTGTAGTTTTAAGCTGATAGCCTTGTAGCCAAAACTTAATAAATAAAAAAAAAAATTACAGTTTTTCGACGAAATTAAATTTTGTCAATTTCAATTTGCTGTATATCTTGGGCGTGTGTTTAGTTTTCCTGTAGAATTAATTTATTTGTTTTAATTATTAGTAATTACAGAAAACGTACGCTATTTTGATTCGAATCTGATTTAAAAAAATATTTTAAGTTTTTATGTGTCATTCGGTTGGTTGTGATTATAAAATAATAGTACCATTGGGGAATAAAGGTAGGTGCGTGTGTAAATAATTTGTAGTGATTTTGTAGCTTTTTTGTTTAAACAGTAATTAGCATAAGCAGTATAATAATTAATTTTTCAAGTTCCTTGGCGAATGCCTAGTTTATATCATGTGATATGAGTAGTACATTTTTTCGCCAATAACTGCTTCGCTATTTGCCTAATAACCTTGTCTTATTTACAAAAAAAGTTATACTGCGAATGAACGAACAAAAAATTAGTACTAATTTAACAAAATTTGGTGCATCTATGTCCCGCCCTTTCATAGGAATCAGCTTTAATTTTAAAGATTTAGTAATTAAATAAATTTTAACTGCATTTATGTAATATTTTATTGTAAAAGCTAAATGAAATAGATGATGTACCTATCATGATACTCCGGATCTACAGACTTATGCATATAAGCATTATATTGTCAAGACATATAAATGTTGTTGTCAAAATCCTGATAAAGTTTGGAGTTAGCCACTGGATGCAATTTAACTTTTATTACAGTATACTTATAATAAACAATTTTCATTGAAAAATGAAATGATTGTTTCTATGAAAGCTTGATGGCGAAATTGAGTTTACATAAATGATTCTCATTCCATTCTTCACAGTCAGTATGACTCAAGTTGGTAATCTTATTATTTATTGTTATGACAAACACATCATACATGGGCTGTGTTCTGTATAAATGTGTTAACCCCAAGAAAATCATAAAAAGAGTTATGAATGCAGTCTTATACCTTGTAATATAAAGTTTAATATACCTAAAAAAATCATAGTGTCCATTAAATCAAATAACTGTTTTCACAAAATCTAGTTCGTCTCAATTTTGTTATAATCTGTTATGTGTGGTGTGAAATCATATATGCGAATTACAACACATCTTTCAACAATTTGGAACAATTTAGTTTAACTATGCTTAATACATACAACTTGTTTGAAAAATGTAAATAGTTTAAATTTTGTCAATGATATGGAGGAGATTCTGAAACTGAGGATTGGGCGATGAGAATAATCCTTTTACTGTTAAAATAAGAATTAGGCTAATGGCGCACCTTTCGAGATATTTATTGCGTAAACTGAAGCTTAACTGGTTTATTTCAATCTGAAAGAAAAGAAGTGATGGGGAATGTGAGTAAGACAAAGGTGATGGTAGTTGAAAGTGGAAAAATGGGGACAATATTGGTAGCAAGAGGGTACAAAAGGTGGAAGAATTTATGTAGCTGGCTAGGTAGTATATATATATTTTTTTATGTGAAGAACGAGGCAAACAAGCAGACGAGCCACTTGATGGGCTGCCTATGCATTGCCAGCCTTTGAGAGCCCTGTAGACACGCTTTTTGAAGAACACCATTTCACAGCGCAAAGGAGACGCTTTAGGAGGAAGATCATTACACACTTTGCAGGTTCAAGGAAGGAATGAATGAGATTCTATATTTGTATAATTTATCCTTAGACACTTGTAAATATCCAGAATACTGGAAGACCTCCAGAGTGACTCCAGTTCCAAAGGGGAGTGGTTGATCTGTCGTTGATGTTTTGATGTACAGACCAATAGCAATAGGCTAGGCTAGTTCTTTGAAACAATGATTAATACCAAATCATGCTACAGATTCGGCCTCGCCTTGTTGACTGCCAGCACAGATTTAGGGAAGCGTGTTCAACCGCTACAAATCATGTAAATTTTGTCGATTTCGTTACGACTGGGATGGATTTAGATCGGCAAGTTGATGCAAACATACTTTGACTTCAAAAAAGCATTTGATATTGTAGACAATGACATGCTGCTACAGAAGAAGGCATCTCTCGGATTCACACTAAAACTCTTGAAGTTTTTCTCATGTTACCTTCGAAATAGACGTCAATATGTGCGGGTTGCAGGGTACGAATCGAACATCTATTATACACGATCTGGCATAAGTCAGGGCTCTACATTAGGGCCGACGCAATTTTTAATGATTATACATGATCTACCGCTGTCTGTCCGCTATTCTAAGTGCCTCATGTTTGCGGACGACTTAAAATTGTTCATGACAATAAATGGGGCCGATGATTGCGAGGCGCTCCAACTAGATATTGATGCAGTTGCGGAAGGGGCTGATAGAAATCGCTTATATTTTAACGCGACAACATGTAAGTCGTTCACCTTTACCCGCAACCGAGCGCCTTTATGTTTTACTTGTCACCTGGATGGCACACCTATGACGAGAGTCCAAACGATGAATGATCTTGGATTGACAATGTACTTCCGACAGCATATTACTTACTCCTGTAGCAGAGCCAGTAAAACACTAGGGTTCATTATGAGAGTCGGCTCTCAGTTTAAGGATCCTGGAGTTGCTGTGATGCTATATAAGTCCTTGGTTCGCAGTCGGCTGAAGTACAATGCTATAGTATCGGATCCCTATGAAGCGAAATATGTAACAATGCTAGAAAGAATCCAGCGTAAATTAGATATATTCTTTGACAAACAGTATGTTATCCAGCGCGGGATACTTCTGTTCGTGGACTACCTTTCGAGCATTGGTGTCCTGTAGGGTGGGCAGCTTACTGTGCGCAGTGTTTTCCAATTTAATTATGTAATATCATTTATCTTAATTTTATTTTTGGATTTTTTTACATTTAATCAGATTGACTTGTAAGCGTTTTGGTAATGTAAGCTTTGAAATGGTTTTAAATGAATAAATGAATAAATAAATGGATAAAGGAGATGCCAGGCATCTAAGATGTGGGGATGGACTCTACTCCTTTGGTGGAAGGTGTGATGGTGGAAACGATATGGTGGCACCAGTTCGAAAAGTTCCTCAGAGCACTCCCCATTGTAGAGACTGTAAAACACTCTCTAAGACGGCTCTAAGAAGAGAGTGAGAAAAGAGTGATAGCAAAATGTATTTACAATTTTATTTATAAATAGTATTAGCATAGTGTAGTAAATTCTTCAACTATAAGTTCTAAGTGGTTATGGGCCATATTTGTTGAAATTTTAATAAACTACGCGGAAAAATCCGATCAAAATGGAGTTATGTAAAATTCAGATTACGAAGCTGGATGGACATAACTGGGTCCAATGGCGTTATCGCGCATCCGCAATGCTCAACAGCATCGACGGATTAATGGATATCGTGGAGGGCAAAGTACGAGAACCTGAACGACCAGTAGCTGCTGCCGGTGATGGAGACACTTCTGTTCTTGGGGAGTACAATCGGATGCTAGGAGCATACAAGGTATCTTTAAGCACTGCGTTGCTTTAGAACATGAACAACATCTCGGATGAAATCCTGGACAAAGTGATGAGATTCTGTCACCCTAAGGATGTATGGGATGAGTTACATTGGCTGTACGACGGCATGAACGAGGACCGTTTGTATGAAGCTTGTTTGGCATTTTTTAAAGCGAAAAAAGATCCATCAGATGACATGGTGACTTGTATTTCGAAATTGAAAAATTTGTGGCATACTTTGAAGCAGGAGTTAGTCAAATCATGTGAAGGTACAGATTTACCGGAGTTTCTGCTAATCTGCAAAATTTTAGATAGTTTGCTTTTAGTGATGCTAATGTCAAAGAAGGACAGAACAGTAGAAAGTTTAACAAGTCAGTTATATGTTCCCTTGTATCTGCAGTGAACTTTGTATTGCTCCCACTCACTGCCACCCATCATTCCCCCAATTGTCAACCATCACTCTTAGATGTCCAGATAGTTTCGAAACCAGAGTCAGTGCTCTTGCATGGACAAACCACTACCCCATTCTCGTATCATGACCTCATATATTTATCTTACCGAGTACGCATTCCCAAACCCAGAATTAAAGTCATTTTCAGCGCAGCTTTGGTGGCGTTTGTGTTGATCGTTTGAGAGACGATTTTTCTAATATTGACTGGTCTGCACTGATTGAAGCTAACACGGTAAATGAGATCAAAATTTTTAACAATCTGTTAATAAAGCTATATGACTCTTATGCCCCACTCAGATCAGTGCGCGTTAAGCATCTGCCTGCGCCTTGGCTTACTCCATCAATAAAGAAAATCATGAAACGTAGGGACAAGGCCAAGTCGATCCTTAGGAGGTTTCCAGGTGACGATAATTTGCTTTCCTATAAACGGCTGCGTAATCTCTACAACAGACTGTGTCGTGACGCCAAACGGCGTTACATCCATTCGTCGATGGAAGGCTTGTCCATGGGTCAAACCTGGAAGTTCTTGAGATCACTTGGTGTGGATAGAGATCGTGACTGTACTGTTGACTTACCTGATCTTAATTCACTCAACAAATACTTTACCAACTCACCATTTACAGTTGCTGACTCTATCAAGACGCTCACCTCTCTGGGCACTGTTACACGTCCTGCTTATGAGCCTTTTTCTTTTCGCGAAGTCACTGAGGGGGAAGTTAAGAAGAGTATCCTATCCATTACTTCCAAAGCCGTGGGTGAAGATGGTATTTGCCGTGACATGCTGATACCTATCCTGGATGGCGTTACATCAATTATCACACACATTATGAATTGTTCACTTGCAACTGGCGTCTTTCCTAGCGACTGGAAAATAGCCCACGTCATTCCCATCCCTAAATCTGCTACTCCCACGGCTTTCTCCCAATTTCGTCCTATCTCCATCCTACCATTCCTGTCCACAATGTCCTTGAAGGCACTGTTCATAAACAACTTTTCTCATTTGTCTCGTTATGATCTTATAAGTCCATATCAATCCGGTTTTCGTCCTGGTCATAGCACAGTAACTGCCTTACTTAACGTCACGGATGATATTCGCCACGCCATGGATAATCGATTGTTTACCATTATTGTGTTACTGGACTTCAGCAGTGCTTTCAACTCTGTCGACTATGACATCCTTCTTGCCATTCTCTGCTCTCTTAACTTCTCCCCTGCTGCAATCGCTTGGTTTTCAGACTACCTCGGCAATCGCCTTCAAAGTATCAAGCATGATGACACTTTTCTGAATGGTTTCCTTTGACTTCAGGGGTGCCTCAGGGTGGCGTACTTTCACCTCTTCTCTTCTCGCTGTTCATAAATGAACTCACAAAACGAATAACTCCTCCGTTCCACTTATACGCTGATGACGTGCAAATGTATAGACACTTTGATGTGGCTAATACCCTATCTGCCATTGAAGCTATTAATAAAGATCTTCTTGTGTTGAAGTCTTGGGCTGATGCGTTTGGTTTGCTTATAAACCCAACGAAATCACAGGCAATAATCGTAGGTAGCAACAGACTTTACTGTTGGTTGGACATTGATAATCTCGCCAAGGTTTCGTATAATGGAGTAAGCCTTGCATATGCTGATAATACAAAGAACCTGGGTCTGATAATCGATCATACAAACTGGACCGACTACTATAGAAGGTAAATCACCTTATGAAGTATGGTTTGGTAAAAAAACATAGATAAAGCACTTGAGAATAATCGGAGCGTCGTGTTATGCTCTTGTTCCAAAACAGACTCGGAAGAAATTGGACAAGAAGGCTGTCAAATGCAAGTTTTGATTGAAAAGTCAAACAAGATCATAAGATCAAGCGACGTGACTTTCAATCAAAGACCACTCGAAGGACAGAGGGACACATATCTAGAGAGTGATCAGGATATAGGCGAGATTCTTTATGAAGTTTGGAACAGACCTTCAACCTCTAAAGGACCGAATGTTATGCGATATAATGCAAAGAACGACGTTCAAGTTAGAGAAGAAGATGGTATTATCAGTGACGGTGAAGTCAGAGAAGACAACCAGAGTCCTGAAGGTAGTAGAAATCAGATGTTTCCAATAGACCCGGATGATCATGATTACGATGTTTTTATAGATGCTGAAACGTCTAATGAATTTAATGGATTTGGGGAGGAAAGAAATGAAGTGGTAGAAAATATGAATTCAAATGAAATTCAAGAAATTCATCGTATGATGTTACGGAATCGCACCACTTTGAAACAGCCTGAAAGATTTAAAGATTATTTCACGAGTACGGAACATGGCACTGATTCTGAACCAGAAACTTGCAAAGGAGCAATAAAATCTCGAAATACCAATGAATGGCGTAAAACTATGGACAGCGAAATAAATTCGTTACAAGAAAGCAAGACTTGGATACTTGTGGACCTACCGGAGAAAAGGAAGTGTATGCCATGTAAGTGGGTTTATCGAGTAAAGCACAACCCAGATGGTACGGTAGACAAGTTCAAGGCGCGTTTGGTTGTCAAAGGTCATTCGAAAAAAAAAGGTCGGAAAAATATAAAGAGTTATAGCAAAATGTATTTACTAATGCCTGTATAAGTATAAGAGGGTAGCCAGAACCTGTGAAGATAGTGCGGGTTCCAACCCTGATGTACGGTAGCGAGTATTGGGTGTGACAGAAGTAGCATGAAATTAGGGTTAATGCTGTTAGTATAAGAGCTTTGAGTAGTATGTGCTCGGTTAGTGCGTCTTCAAATTAGGCGTTTATAGAACCGCTACAGTGCGCCACTGTGGCAGCCGCGCCACTACCAAAAAGTAATAAGAAAGCGTCGTGTAATGAAGGATCATGTAGTCAAGTAGAAAGAATGAATGTTAGTAGATTTAAACGTGGGAAGAGGTAGACCCACGACGCACATGTCTCGATCAAATCTCGTAAAAGTAAGCAATATAAGGAATATCTCGAAACTGCGATTTTGTGCGTTAACTCATTTATGCAGAATACGGTCCACATAATTTTATAAATAATTTTGAACAAAAATCTACCTTATTACTGTAAAGTGACAGTTCATTATAAAATGTCACCGGTGGGAAGTTAGACACCCATCAGCTGCAAAATTACAGTGTATAGTTGAAGAAATATTATTTGCACCGATGAATGTTATCTGTTGGAATGGTTTATCCTTTATATTACAATACAGTAATAAAACAGTTAACACTTCTTTTACTCAAAGCGTACATGGACTTTAATGATCTTGGTCCTTTGTACGAGTCATGGATGTGCTAAATGCCTTTTCTGAATTTTAGTTTTGAATTATTTCTTTACTAATCAGGCCATTTTTTAAACCAGTAATTTTTTTGTAAAATACTGACTGCTGACTCTTTTCTTACAAATTCATTAAACTTAGTTCTGCATAAAGATTATCAAATTTAGAATTAAGTACCAATAAGTAAAAGTGTTTCAACTAGTGTTACCGAGCCGGTTCATTCTTTTGTTCTATTGTATTTTAAAGATGAAGCGATGAGACGAATCGGCGCAAATAATAATTCACCAACTGTATCTAATTGACAATTGTAGACACTTACTCAAGTGGATACTTATCCAGTGTATGAGTACCTTCAATTGTGATTGCAAGGTTGTTTTGATTACAACTGCAATTACCAACTTATATGTATAATGTCATAAATACTCTGATAAAAGCTATCAGTAATCATTACATGATATGATGATAGATAGTGCATGGCATCTAAATTTGGTACATTTGTTTCAGGATGTTGAGAGGAAGAGTGAAGCATCTATTCCATTGTGTTTTTTTCATGTTTTTTATTTTACTTTTTCTATTATTGGCTGGAGCCATAAGTCTAGATGATAAAGACAAAGAATATGTTGACCCATTAGCTGCATATGGGATTCTTGGTACAATAATCTTGTACATCCTTAGACTTCTCACCTTGCTGACAATACCACAGGTCCTGTGCAATTTTGCAGGACTTACACTTTTTAATGCTTTTCCTGGAAAAGTTAACTTGAAAGGTTCACCACTGCTTGCACCTTTCATTTGTATCAGGGTTGTTACAAGAGGGGATTTCCCAAAACTAGTAAGAGATAATGTCACAAGAAACATGAATCTCATCACTGATGTGGGTATGGAGAACTTTATGATTGAAGTTGTGACTGATAAAGCAATCAATTTGCCCACACACAGGAGAGTGAGAGAAGTAGTTGTTCCTGCTGAGTACAAGACAAAGACTGGTGCTTTATTCAAATCTCGAGCTCTGCAATACTGCCTGGAGGACAATGTTAACATCCTCGCTGACACTGATTGGATTGTGCATTTAGATGAAGAAACTTTGCTCACTGAAAATTCTGTTCGTGGGATATTGAATTTTGTACTCGATGGTCAACATCAGTTTGGCCAAGGGCTGATCACATATGCTAATGAAAATGTCGTCAATTGGTTGACTACTCTAGCTGATAGTTTTCGAGTTTCTGATGATATGGGAAAGCTGAGACTGCAATTTTATTTATTCCACAAGCCACTGTTTAGTTGGAAAGGATCTTATGTTGTTACACAGGTGATCTTACCTTTTTTAATAATGTAGACTGTAATATTAATTATATTGAATATCACAATGTATTACTACCATGATATACAATTATTTTTTGTTAAATTATTTCACTAGTTCGTTATAATGTGAATAATGTATAAAAGGAAAATAGAAAACATTCTAAAATTATATTTATTTATTTAGTGTTGCTAACAGATTGTATTGTATTATAGTTGTATTATTGTATTGTAACTGTATACTATTGTATTGTATTGTAACTGTATTTACATATTTTTTTGTTTAACGTCTTATTGTTGTTAAACTTGTACAATAAGTGATAATGTATTCTACATATTATGTAATTTATTTTAGGTTGGAGCTGAAAAGAAAGTTTCTTTTGACAATGGTCTTGATGGATCAGTGGCAGAAGACTGCTACTTTGCCATGAAAGCTTACAAGGAGGGCTACACATTCAACTTTATTGAAGGAGAAATGTGGGAAAAATCGCCTTTTACATTATGGGATTTCATGCAGCAACGGAAAAGGTGGATTCAAGGTATTTTATTAGTAGTTCATGCTAAAGAGATACCTACTGTTACTAAAATTTTTTTAGCAATATCGTGTTATTCATGGGTTACATTACCACTATCGACAAGCAATGTAATTCTGGCTAGCCTTTGTCCCATACCTTGTCCACAATTCTTGGACATTACATGTGGCTTTATAGGTGCTGTTAATATTTATATGTACATTTTTGGTGTGTTGAAATCATTTCCTATACACAGATTTGGTCCTGTTAAATTCCTTTTATTTGTTGCTGGGGCATTGGCTACAATACCTTTAAATATTGTCATAGAAAATATTGCTGTTGTATGGGGTATATTAGGTAAAAAGCACAAATTTTATATAGTCAATAAAGAAATCAAGATTCCAGTGACTGTATGATTTGTGGTGCAGTATTTCATATCATTTTAAATTTTGATGTTAAAGGATAAGTGCACAAAATACTTAAGTGGAATAATCTTACACTTATTCTGAAGTGTATTAGTTAGATATTTGATTTAGGAAGTACTTATAATTGAAGATAAATACAATCGCCAAACAGACATAATGTGAGACGTTGTCTTTAATCTGTTTACCAAAGAGGGTTATAGCCTTATTAAAGCGTTATGGATATAGCATGGTAAATTTGCTTTTATATACTAAAACGATTTTATTAATGCACAATGATAAGAAACAGGTGGTTGGTGGTATCAACATAGATGTACTAATAATTTATTTTTGGATGCTTTTGTTATTTTTACTTGGTGGTATTTTTTATATTTGCTGTATATTCTGATTGTACTGTTAATACATTTTTCAATTCCCGTGTTTTATTGTACGGACGGCAGCACATCATGCTACACATTGACGAATCTTGTGCCGTTGCACGGGAGGCGATATTCGTGTATAGCTTTATGTACTGACGACTGTACATAACCTTTTGTATATTATTGGCCTATTCAAATGTACATACTACATACTACATAATAATGAACGTGAAATGTAAGTCCTCCATCGTTGCTCTCGATTGGACTGCTTGAAGTATCAATTGCACTAAGAGCAGTGGTTTTAATCCAAACGAATTTTTTTAAACTCCTGGTTGTAACATTCAAATAATAATTTCAAATGATTGCTATCGGACTTGATGATATAAATATGTATCGTGACTTTACGATCTCACGAATATCATACGGGATAAGTATAATAGTATAGTCTTTTTTTTGTTATAATATCAAGTACTATACAGTCCAGTAGTGGAAGTATGTATTGTGTATGGACCATCGACGCACTTAGGCTCAACTTACACTGGCGCAGAGTCGAAGCGTCGCGTCGTGTCCTGTTTTTTAACTACGAAAAGGCGAAGGCGGCGAAGGCGCGCGTCGTCGCGTATTTGTACCTTAGTAATGGGAAAATAGAGATGAATGTGCTATAGGCGAAAAACGTGACGCGCCGCGAGTGACGCTTCGGCTCTGCGCCAGTGTGAGTTGAGCCTTAAGATTAAACCAGCTGTACTCAAGCTTTTTTCCTTCGGGCTATAGACACATATTTGCTATATTATAAGGGCCTAACCTTTTTTTACGTTAATGGGATGGTTTTTACGGGTCTGTGTTACAAATAGAATAAAAGAATCAATAACCCGATTTCTGTATACGTTGTTCATATTTCATTTTGGAATACAATGATTCACAAAGGTACGTTGTTGCGAACGACGTAAGCAGTGGGTGGTCACTTTGTTTACAGTCGTATATTCTTCAGATATACTACTACTAATTTCCAAAATTCGGTGTATTTCTTTCCCTTTCTCCTTACTTCAAAAATAGCTGCCATATACGTATGGTACTTATACTCGATAAACCCAATAACCTTGCATAATCAAATCTCAATGCAGCTATTATAATTGTGTTATAGTTTCTCTTTCTATGTGCCTGAGACTATCACGTATCTCGCTCAAGAGTGAAAAAATTTGGGAACTAATAGTATATAATATAATAATAGTTTTAAAAAGCACCTTCCTTGTAACCAGGCCATGAACAGTACGTCGCTTACTTTAAAATTGGTTAGCAGAATATGATAGTCCGAGGTACCGGTTCGCTATATCGATGCCTTACTTTCTCAAACTCGTATCTTATAAAGAGTGATTATTCAGGAGATGGCAAAACTTTCTATTTATTTTAAATTTCTTATCAAGGGTGTTAATTTGGATGCATTACTTTAAGAATAGGTAAAACCCAGTGTGTGAATATGAAGGAAATGTGATGTGATATCAGCCTGCAAAATTTGTATATACAATCCATTTTTTGCATTTCAGTAACTGAGTGCTTTGAGATATGAGTTTGAGAAGTTACGACGACGATATGGAGCTCAGAAAGCCAACTACAGGTTCTACTGTGCAGTTTCCAAAAGCTTTTGTGTAGTTGATGTCTACTGCTTCTCAGTGGCGAGGCGTGAAAATTGCCGAAGTTAATTGACCGTAAGAGTTAATAAAGCCGGAGCAAAACAAAAAACAATTGCTTTAACAAGTGGCGACAATTAAACATAACGCTTATTAGCACACAAGATACTAGCACACTTTATTTCAGTGGTTAGTTACTTACACTTAAAATTGAGTACAAAATGTGGTAAATTACTTTGAAATATTTATAATATTTCATAATACGTGGAAAATTTTAGGCAAGTCGGTGGGAATCGAGTTATATGTACGCCTCGCCACTGCTGCCTCTCCATAGATCAACAACGTACTGACAAAATTCAATGATTTCTTGAACATTTTGTTTTGAAAGTACTATGGCACAAAGTAGTGATATTTTTGTGTGCAGAACTAAGTACTGTCCATGAACGGGTTAATAGTGTTTCGGGTCGCACATAAAAGCTATGCGGGCAGCAGATTGAGTATGGCTGGCTGGTCAACACTGTTCGCTGATTTAATATATTACTGACAAGAATTTTTTTTTTAAATTCACATTAAAAAATCTTGAAATGTCTTTTTGTTTTGGTTTCTTTGCTGATGAACATTGGAAGTCTTTGATAATTCGATGTAAACTAAGAAAGTTGCGTTATCCATCTTACATTATGTAATGTGCGTATTATAACATTAGCTTTGATTGGAAATAGAAGTGAAAATAACAGTATTATTTATAATAATTCTAAAATATATGAACAATTAGTCCTCATTATTGGTTATTTATTCTTTTACGCAGCTGATTTGAATGGATATAAAATGATAAACATTGCTTTATATTCTGGTAAAAGTCAATACCAAAGAAGATCTCACAAAAGCCATGTACATAATATTTAGAAGCAACCTCTTTCGGCTGTCTTTGTAATATAATATTTTGAAAGTATTGATTTCAAAATTTATATGCGATGGTGTACCTTGTGACATATTTGATATCTAAGATAGATACTTACCTTTCGTGTAATTGTGAATTTAAAAGTTTTGTGATATACATTTATATTAATTAGTACGATTGATAATGTCATAGTTGAATATCCTGTATTGTCGTTTTTTAAGAATATTAATTTGTGTATTCGTCGCTAAATTGTAAGCAGTCATATGTTTTTAATTATTAAAGTTAGTTTATACTTTTGAGCGGATCAAGTGACATAATTATAGAAGATTTTGAACACTGTCGACTACATATGAAGAATGTGTTTGATCGTTTTGTAATCTCACCCAAGATTTTCTGCTTAAAAAAGTATTATATTAGCGATATAACATCAGCGAATCAAAATTATACCTAGGTCTCAGTGTGAGCATCTTTATGACGTTACGCATGGTCAAGAGACTATTTACACACTTGAAATTTATACACTTGAAAACTACTGAAACTAATAATTGAGTAATTTTACTGAAAAAAAAAACCTGTAAATCATCAACACTTTGGCGGTCTTGAAAATTTACATTTACTCCACCTTTTAAGCTTATTTGTGATTCCGATATATTCAGTTTACTAAGGGATTTAAATACTTCTAAGTGTTATGGAAAATGTTCTTCTAAAAAGGATACATTCCTGGCAGTTTTCGATTCTAGTTACTTTGTCTAAATGTACTATTCTGTCCAGTAAAGTTTAAGTTGTGTTATTTGTAAAGTAGCAATATTATTAGGAATGTTGTTTTTGTGTTCGTTTTATATACTAAGAACTAGTCATTTAAATTCGCTTACGAAATAGTGGTAATTGATCGACAGTTTTCGTGTGCCACGGCAAACCTTTGCCCATACCTCAATTTCCCGTGGTTCGACTTAATATCATAATGTCAGGGATCAAGGATCATTGTTATCTTACGACAGTGTCTATTTAATTACTAATTTTACAATGGCATTTGTTCACGCTTTGTACAAACATGTAGAATAAGAACCATGACCCTATATTTAGAAGTGTATCTAGCTATTTACAACGAGCAAAATATGAACGAAACTTGTCAAAATGTGAGAAATCGTTACCTCACGTTCAATGTTTGGATGTCGAGAATATGTTTGAGAGCTTGCACACACTTAATATTTAAGCATTAGGACATTAATACATTGTATGAGAGTTTATAGGTATCTAACGAGAGACATTAATATGATCTATTTGAAAATAATCACGCTGTATGTCTTTGCGTAGGGTCACCTGGTAGACAGCGGATCGGTTGGGTACAGTGTGTTATGCGGGTCGCGACCCCAAAGATGTTAGTAATATTTTGTGTATTTCTGTGAATTATTTGAGTTAAATATTAGTGTCTAAAATATCATTAGCCGAACTGGAACAATAGCTTTTAACACGTTTTTAATATTAATTTGAAAGAGAGTTGGGCTAACAATGAAACATCCTGCGGTCAGCGAATTTAGCCACAGTCATGGCTTGAGTTTTAATTATTATTACTAGTACACCTACAGGTGGATCAGAACTGCCAGGGAAGATATAAAAGAATGTATAGTTACGAGTAAGCATTACCAAGGGAAACAATTAGCCTTTTACACTATTGACAGTTATCCCTCCCTCCATAATTAGCTATACCTTTCATTGCTTTCTCTTTTTTTTTCATTGACATACTGTGAGCAATAGGGGAATCTAGTGTTCAACCCTGGTGCACAGTGGATCAATGCATTAAAAAAAACGTATAACGCCCTGTAATATGTAATTCAAATTAACTAAATGTGGCTGTGCAAACGGCTGTCGAATAAAAGTGATATACTGTCCACCAGAGACACTACCTGTACAGTTCTTTGTATAATTATGTTTCTGTTTTAAGGTTCCGAGTCAAAGAATGTTCCAAGTGTGTGCTTGTGTGTCTTATAATTAATTTTTTTATTCTCTAAACACATAATATTAGTTAGTCTACATAGCAACTTACAAATAAATCTGAGCATCTAAATTGGTTTTCTTTTAAGATACCTTCAAATTAACTTAGGATAACTTCACAGGATTGTCATAATATGGTGAAATTACAGTGACATGGGACTTGTCGATTTATGAGTCAAGGTGACGGGCGCAGTGGCAGTGTCTCTCAGATATTTGCGGTTTAATGCTCTGAGTGACACTGCAACTGGCATGGACAGGGGTGTCGCTTACCACCAGGCGCACGACTTGTACGTCCCGTCACTTGGTTTCGTAAAAAAAAATCTTTATTTTCGATGTTAAAAATAGTTCCGCGAGTAATGAAGCTTTGGGCGTGGTACTTTCAACTCAATAATTTAGTTGATAATATCATTATGACGATGAGTCATGCCAGATTGTCTGTTTAACAGATTCTTATCTGTAAACATGCTTCGTAACGCATTTGTTAAGTGTCGCCTATTGACATATTTCCATCTATGTGTGTGTACATAGATTAAACTGTAAGTGTACTTAGTCGTTTATTACACTGTAAAAGCAAAAATACCTATTTAAACGCGACATTTTATTGCATTTACGGGTCTGTAAACATTTAAATATCAGCACAAACATGTGTAAATAATAATGTGCATAAAATATAGCGTCGACCATAAAATATTAAAATTTGCGAAATGAAATTCAACTAGGTACTACTAGGTGGGTTACATATACTGGGATTGTGAATACACAGTCGAATGAAAGTTTTTTTCTAAGATTAATGCAAACCATTCTATTCTGAATAGTAGACATAAATGGTTGATTACTAATAGTATCTTAGTCAGTCGTAACCATGGGTTTTAACGTTTGAAAAAACAAGAAATAAAAAATTTATGAAAAACAAATACACGCGATTTAAGTTCGGAAAAATAGTTTCATTTCCTATGTGTAACAATTGCGAAAACCTAAGCACTCGATAAAAAAAAACAAAA